TACAACACAACAACACGTACCAGCTACACTACAACAACACGCACCAGCTACAATACAACAACACGTACCAGCTACAACACAACAACACGTACCAGCTACAACACAACAACACGTACCAGCTACAACACAACAACACGTACCAGCTACAATACAACAACACGTACCAGCTACAACACAACAACACGTACCAGCTACAATACAACAACACGTACCAGCTACAACACAACAACACGTACCAGCTACACTACAACAACACGTACCAGCTACAATACAACAACACGTACCAGCTACAACACAACACGTACCAGCTACAACACAACAACACGTACCAGCTACAACACAACAACACGTACCAGCTACAACACAACAACACGTACCAGCTACAATACAACAACACGTACCAGCTACAACACAACAACACGTACCAGCTACAACACAACAACACGTACCAGCTACAACACAACAACACGTACCAGCTACACTACAACAACACGTACCAGCTACACTACAACAACACGTACCAGCTACAACACAACAACACGTACCAGCTACACTATAACAACACGTACCAGCTACAATACAACAACACGTACCAGCTACACTACAACAACACGTACCAGCTAAAACACAACAACACGTACTAGCTACAAGACAACACGTACCAGCTACAATACAACAACACGTACCAGCTACAATACAACAACACGTACCAGCTACAACACAACAACACGTACCAGCTACAAGACAACACGTACCAGCTACACTACAACAACACGTACCAGCTACAACACAACAACACGTACCAGCTACAACACAACAACACGTACCAGCTACACTACAACAACACGTACCAGCTACAACACAACAGCACGTACCAGCTACACTACAACAACACGTACCAGATACACTACAACAACACGTACCAGCTACAACACAACAACACGTACCATCTACACTACAACAACACGTACCAGCTACAACACAACAACACGTACCAGCTACAATACAACAACACGTACCAGCTACAATACAACAACACGTACCAGCTATAATACAACAACACGTACCAGCTACAATACAACAACACGTACCAGCTACAACACAACAACACGTACCAGCTACAACACAACAACACGTACCAGCTACAATACAACAACACGTACCAGCTACAATACAACAACACGTACCAGCTACAACACAACAACACGTACCAGCTACACTACAACAACACGTACCAGCTACAACACAACAACACGTACCATCTACACTACAACAACACGTACCAGCTACACTACAACAACACGTACCAGCTACAACACAACAACACGTACCAGCTACACTACAACAACACGTACCAGCTACACTACAACAACACGTACCAGCTACAACACAACAACACGTACCAGCTACACTACAACAACACGTACCAGCTACAACACAACAACACGTACCAGCTACAGCACAACAACACGTACCAGCTACACTACAACAACACGTACCAGCTACACTACAACAACACGTACCAGCTACACTACAACAACACGTACCAGCTACAACACAACAACACGTACCAGCTACACTATAACAACACGTACCAGCTACAATACAACAACACGTACCAGCTACACTACAACAACACGTACCAGCTAAAACACAACAACACGTACCAGCTACAAGACAACACGTACCAGCTACAATACAACAACACGTACCAGCTACAATACAACAACACGTACCAGCTACAATACAACAACACGTACCAGCTACAACACAACAACAAGTACCAGCTACACTACAACAACACGTACCAGCTACACTACAACAACACGTACCAGCTACAACACAACAACACGTACCAGCTACAATACAACAACACGTACCAGCTACACTACAACAACACGTACCAGCTACAACACAACAACACGTACCAGCTACAATACAACAACACGTACCAGCTACAACACAACAACACGTACCAGCTACAAGACAACAACACGTACCAGCTACAACACAACAACACGTACCAGCTACAACACAACAACACGTACCAGCTACAACACAACAACACGTACCAGCTACAATACAACAACACGTACCAGCTACAACACAACAACACGTACCAGCTACAACACGTACCAGCTACAATGCAACAACACGCTACTGCCCTTGCTAGTGCGACACCACCGCACTGCTTACACTGCAGCCAAGATTATCAGAGCCTCCTTAATTTGTTTGCCTTGCGTGTATTTTAGGCGCAGTGGTTTCGCACTCGGCGAGTTTAATTCCTGGCCAGGGCTGACATCGGCGACGAGTGGGTTTTAAACCGGTCCTGGGCCGCTCTCTTCATCAACTCGCAATGACCAGCGTGGTGAAGTATGGTCAAACAACCCTCACGACTGGCATTATATGGCAAGGTCTACACGCAGCAGTGGATTGACACAGGGATACAACAAATATGACTCTTCGGTTCTTTCGGTAAAGTCGCGTTGGTGAAAATAAAATGAAATAAAAAATGGAAACAACTAAATTATTCATTTTATTTAGTTTTCATAATTTTTTTATTTAATTAAATTTTCACCTACGTGACTTTACCGAAACAACCAAAGAGTATAGATCCTTACAGTCACAAAAACTTAAAATCAAAAACAAATATTGTTAATTTCGAATGTATTCCGATTACACCCCCCCTCTCGTAATGTATTAGGTGCTTGGAACCTCGTGGTCATGATTCCTCTAGACGCGTTAACAACGCACCGAGCATCACTGCCCGGTGCGCAGATTTCAATTTGCCGTCTTTGATGGTCCGGCCCGGCTGACAGGGGATCCGTCTGCACCGCACCCCACGGAGACTCCGATGTGAGAGTGGGGTGAGGACCCCGGCTACTACCGTCTCCGCACGCCGCGGAGACAAACGCAGACCACGCGGACACGCAAACACGCTCAGCCCAAGCCTGCCGCGCCCGTCTTACGCAGCGTGCCGCTACGCGCGACACGCAGGCTGCGTGGCACCGTCGTTACATGGGAGGGAGGGCTGGTGCCGGTCCCTTGAGCTGGGCTGACGGCCCCTGTGAGGAGCAGAGCGCCCGAGATTACAGAGAGAGGCGTGGTGTCGGATATATTCCAAACTCGGCAAGCTGTGCGCAGGCTACGTGAAGTGGTACATTTACAGGGCGATTGCAGAGTGTGGGTATGGATTCAAAAATTCACCGTGTGAATTTGCTTTACATAATGACGTGGTATTCCCCTCCCTATCATTTATTCAATTTTCAGTTCATCAGCGTGAAGTCACGTGGCGACGAATCCATTCTGAGATCTCGCGGGGGGGTGGGGTGGGGTGGGGGTGGTCAAGAGGCTTTGACGGGACGACGACTTTGTCAGAAACACCACTCAGGGGACGAACCTCCCCCACACACCGTGAACGAGCAGATCCCGAATATTGAGCCGAGTGGGTTTTTTTATGGTGCAGTCATCGGTGACTGGGCTGAGGCCATCGACTCGCTAGTGCAGACTCCCTCGTAGTGAGTCCACTGACTAGTATCGACTCAGTGTCCACTCCCTCGCAGTGAATTTAGATTCATAGCCTCACTTTGAGCGGTGCCAGATCCGTGCCCTGAACTTTGAGGCACGGGGCCTCCTGAATAGCTTCTGTCCGGTTAAGCCCACGTGGCCTCGTCAACATCGATTGTTATCATTTCTAGATTTGAAGCTTTCGTGACTGCAAGGATTCATACTCTTAGGCTTTTGTCGGTAAAGTCACGTAGGTAAAAATAAATAATAACATTGATATAAGTAATAAAATAATAAATCACGACGTTTCAGAGGCAACACAAGCTTCCATCTTCAGGTGGAACCGTCACAGCACGATTGCTTAACCAGTATATATACAAGGTCAGGTCTCTTGGGACTTCTCTCTTTACTTGATACAGCAATTGTGCTGTGACGATTCCACCTGAAGATGGAAGATTGTTTTGCCGCCGAAACGTCGTGATTTATTATTTTATCACTTCTATTAATTTTATTTTTATTTCTTACCTACGTGACTTTTTTTATCGAAAAAGCCTCAGAGTACGATTGTTATCAGTTTATCAAGTGTTACTCGGACCTGGCGATGACCGAAAAACTTGATGTTATGCTTAACTACATCGTGATAAGCGTTTAATGTCTTGCTGTACACTGCCATATGTAGCTTTGAGGACACGTCGCCAGCTGTTCCATAACACCATTGATATACTTCTGCAAAGGGGGACTAGGAGTTACATCTGGAATACTCTCTGTGAGCACCGCACGCGTCTGCGTGTGAGCTCCGAGCCTCATCGCAAGCGTCCATCGGGCTCAATCGACAGATTCAGCGTGGCCAAAACAATCGACGATGGTGCCCATCGCTGTTCACCTCACAGGGCATAATATGACTTTGAAACCCCCCAGCTCACCGCCTACGCATTTCCCATAAATATGCTAAATTCCTCTTGATATGCAAATTATTTTGTCAAGGCGCTCTTCTTCCACCTCCAACCCAGCTTATACATATGCTAAATTTCTCTTGATATGCAAATTATTTTGTCAAGGCGCTTTCCCCCCCCCCCTCCAACCCAGCTTAAAAAGACGCTCCAAGCCTGGGGTTGTCATTCAGACTCTGTCTTCTCGACAGACCTGTTCTTCACCTGAGGACGGCTGCTTGCGTTGTGGCCTCGATTCACACACCTCCACTTGATATACCGGTCAGGAATCAAACACTGGCCATGAATCTCCGTGGGATTCTTATAAAGTTCACAAATAAAGGGATCATTTTGCTCACAGCAGAAACAGCGTCTTCCGTGCGCCGAGTCTCGCCTCGTCTGCCGCTTCTTCCCCGGCGCTGCTCAACTTCGGAATTCCCTCCCGCGGCCTCTTTCCCAAAGCCCCATTCAAGAGTCGTGTTCACTCTCATCTACCGCCGCCTGACGTGTTGGATCTTTGGGCTTTGCGCTCGGAAATAGGGTTAAATAATCGCGGAGGAGTACCTGTTTCCAGCCGTCGACGGAGAGGCTTCGGAATTGAACTCATGCGGCTGATCTGGGTCGCCGGGCTGAGGTCATGGTGCCGTCTGTAAAATGAATAGAAATGCAATCGATGACATCGCCGTGACCCAGGCCATCCGAGGTCACAAAGCTATTGCGTGAATTTTGCTCCACTGGCTGCTGCAGCAGCAGCAACAGCAGACCTAAGATCGCTCGCGCTATTTATTTTGGCGCACGCGGTGGTGTGGGTACGGTTACGTCTGGCCAGTGGGCGCTGTGGTCAGAACGCTTGGCTCAGAATCACGTGGTCACACAATTAATTAAACGCTGGAGAGGGACACTGCAGCTGACCTCCTACACCGGGTCACATCGACGCGTATCACTTTGCAGGAAGCCAACAGTGGTTGTCCTCCGGAAAGACTGGCCCTCACCATGGGAAGGTGGAATTTCCGCTACTGGCACAGGGCCACCAGTGGTGGTGTGCGTCTAAACCGCGAGACGCACTGACTCATCACATTCTCACGCCACAGCCACATCCTCGCAGCGCTCCGCTGCTGCACTGTCAAGCACCGACCAATCACCGCTTCGCCCTCCGTTGTTTTAAAAAGTCGCCTTCCTCCGTCTCTGACTTCATTCCTCCTTCCCTTGGCCCGACACGCGCTCCGCTCTCCTCCGCCTCCCACCAGCACCTCACCGCCCCCGCACGCAGCGGGCGGTCGGCCGCTCCCTCTCGAGATCGAAGTTCTTCTCTCCCCCTGACGGCACCGCCAGCTGGGCCCTCCCCCACTTCACATCCCACCTCTCTCCGTCACCCGCAGTCGATGCTTCACGCGCCGTGCAATCGTCGCACCCCGCCGCAAGCCAACGCACAGTCGCGGCGTTGTGTAAAGCTGAAACCGCGTTCTCTTTACCTCTCGTATTTATCATCTCTTCCTATCCTCGTTTCTTCTAACCGGTCGCATTGTTTTGCTTCCTTCATTCTTGCCGAGGTATTGTCTGTTGCGTCTTCGATCGTGAAATTCGTTTCCACAACGGCGACGATGATCACTGCTTAACCCGGCCACGTATCTGACCCGCGGTTGGAGCTGCCACGGAGCCGAGTAGCAAACGCCCTCACCGCGGGCACGTTCTCTAAGGGCTTGTTACGAGATGACCGCGGGCACGCGCTCTAAGGGAACGCGCTCCAAGGGAACACTCTCCTCGGACGCCCTCCGGGCACATCCGACACTGCTGTGGAATGTGCTGACAGAGGCAGCAGTGGGGTGGAAATGAACGCTTTAGTTAAATGGAAAGTGGATAGAAAAATTCAACACGGACATGTAAATTAAAAAAACCAACATTGGCAGGGCGACGAGAGGTCACGTGCCCTTCAACAGGGCTACTCTGTCACCACCACCACCACCCGTCACCAGTCCCACTCGACAGAGAGGGCCCATTGACAAGTCAACTACGGCACGCAGTCACAGTGGGGAGCAATGGCCCAGTGGTCAGCGCGCCACGCTGCGACCCCGCCGTCCAGAGTTCACCTCCAAGCCACGGCTAACATCGGTGGCGAGCGATATCTGAACCGGTCCCTAACGCGCCCCCCACCTCTGCCTTTCACCAACCCACACTGACCAGTGTGATGAAGAAGAGCCCCCCCCCCCCCCCCCCGCCGCCCTGCCCAACACGGTTTGGGGGTGGTGTTCATCCAGCAGCCGATTGATCCAGGACTGTGAATTCACAAATCAGCTCAGCGGCGTCCCGACAGGAACAAGGCCAGCGCGAGGCGACTCGGAGCGGTGCTCAGCGAAAGCTGCGAGCTTAAAATACCCCAGCAGCAGCATGGCGTCTGGGACTATGAATACCTTAGAAACACGCGTAGCCAATTTCATCGAGAATAGGTCAGGCATTGAAAACAGATTTCCAACAACTACGTTCACGAAGTCCCAGTAAACAGGACAATCGCTTGATAATTGGTTTTTTACCCTTCTATCTGGCAACAAAACTGACAACTTTTTTACAAGGAGTCATGTTTGCATAGACCACAATACCTGCAGCCATAATGCAAACAAAAAACATAACTCTGATAATATATGCACTGTCCTTGAAGTAGATTGGTCCACACCCGAGACAGCTTTCCTTAGAGCCTAGTCTCACATGGTGTTAGACCAGATGACGCCAAAAGGCGCACAACTCAAAGACAATGCCAATTTTTGATTGCATTATGGCTGCAGGCATTGTGGTCTATGCAAACATGATTCGTTGTAAAAAAAAGGTGTCAATTTTGTTGCCAGATAGAAGGGTAAAAAACCAATTATCATATTTTTTACTGGCAAATGAGGTTCCAATTAAGTCAATCGCTTGATACGAGCTGACCGCGACGACTCACGACGTAAACGCAGAGGTGGCACAAATCCGTGTTCGATGGCAAGGAGGATTCCCCACTCTTTTTTCTCGCAACGATAGTGCAGACCGGATTCATAGTTTCTCATCAGCGTTTGTTCGTCTGTGGAAGGGGCTGCGGTAAACCCATTATATTATCTCTCAAGCCAAAGTGAGGATTTACTAAGCAGTGGTTACACCTGCATTGTGAGATGGGTCTGAGACCTGGGCCCTATAAAGACGCCAAATAATGAAGCGACACCGGTTCCGACAGCAGCGCTTGTGTTCTGTCCTACATACTCACTGCACTGAGAGATTTACAAAGGATGAGGTACTGGACAGGGAGGGCAATGTTGGACATTTGGAATACTGCTGAGGCAGCATCAGCTGTGATGGGGCCAGACGATCGCATTCCAAAGCAGCAGCAGTAGCTCGGGGACTGGCGAACTCTACCGAGGCATCCTCGAACAAACGCACTCAAGCGCCGTGGCCCTCCCATCCCTGATTGGCAGCGCAGCAGAGAGTCAGCTGGGGGAGATGCGGAGCGCACGGGGCGAGGGGGATCAGCATCATCAGCGTCTTCGTACGCGTCCCACAGAGACGTGGATGCTCTGCTGCTCTGGAAGGATCAGTGTCGGCTGGATTTCGTCTGTGTTCAGCCGTGATTGCTCCTGCATCAAAAAAGAACCGGAAATATTTTCCCCCCCACAAAATATGGCAGCTCGTAATAGTGTCTCAGTGAGGTCATTTAACCGACGCTCTATCCGTCCAGCACATGCAGCAGGACTTGTACGTCTTGATTTATCCTCGCCAGCGACTACTGTATCGCACTGGCAGTGTCAGCTCGCAGTGAAACAGCATCCAGCCCGCACAGGGTGGCCACCTGACCGGGTTTGACCCGGCGAACATTCCGGGATTTGGCATCTGAGTCTGAGTGGCAGGAATTGATTTGCACCGAGATCTGGTAGCGGTATCGCGTTGATCTTTATCGCAGGATATCGCACGGTTTTGATACGAGCCCGGGGCTCACTGAGTTATCTGTCCGAGTTTTGGTCTACGGTGGAAGAGTTCGGTGGCCCTAAGCCCGCACCCCACCACCTCCTGGCTGCGGGGAACACCTCCGCTCAGAACGATCCCACACATCGTACGGGCTTCTCTCCTTTGGCTGCCAGACAGAGCCTCTTATCCACGCTCTTCCAATCGGCGCTGGTTACACCGTTCTTTTCGTGCACTCATTGAAGGTTGGACTGGGTCCATCAGCTCACTCTATACCTGTGCCCCGCGATATTCAACCTTGTTTTAAATAGCCCAAACCTCAAAATTAATTCAGAAAAAAAAACGTTCAACATATTTCGTCTCTTAAATATGAAACTCATCCACCAACTTTCGTAGTCTCAAGGGGGAAGGCGCTACTCGGTTTAACTACGCTGCCCTCTTGTCATTCGACTGTCGGATGAAAGCTTCCCGCAGCCGCGGGCGTCCTGGGGTTTATTCGACCATACTTCAATACTCAGTGTAGGTTGACAAGGAAGGCAGGAGAGCATATACCTGGACGCGTATAAGAACAGTACAACAGTGGATGTTGCTGCCCTGCCTTCTGCTGCACACTGTGTAGCAGGGCCGCCGTGGAAACGCGAGCAGGGCCAGCGGGTCCCGGCTCGCGAACCGAGCAGACACCCTTACAAGGGGTCGCGGAAACGCAGCATCAGGTCACAAACCGGGGCTAAGGTTTCACGTTTATTTGGTCTCATTTTGATGATGAAGATGAGAACTGACAAGACCAGGATAAAGTATCATTTGCAACAGTGATTCGGAGCAGTGTCTTTTCAGTAAGAGGCGACGATTGAGTCATTTGCGGTGTCATTTGGAATTTGGCAAAATTTGGAGTTTAAATCCGTGCAGAATCAGCGTTGATTGGGAATTCTGGCACAGGAAATGAGTCAAACCATGCCCGCAGTATACACTCGCATTTAAGGTATAATTGTATGGCTGGGTGCATTTTGCTCCACGGACAAAGCGATTTCCATAAGAATACAGATCGCGCTACGCTCGGAATGCCCGCGAGAAAGGGCGAGCGAGTCACCCGCTGATGCTGCTCAATCGATGTCAACAATGCGGTCGCATTGCAAGCTGCCGGCAGTCACGAACATGCGTGCCCTATGGCACAATCCACGCCGGCGAACACCGTCAAAATTCCACGAGTTTCCATTTTGCCATTCGATGATTTATCCCCCCCCCCCCCGTATCCCTAGAAAACAGCGGTGGTACGGCAAGCCGGGGCTGACTCACCCCGCGTGGAACACCGTGACCCCTAGTGTGCCTCTCACACCCTGGGCCGAACAGCGGCCGTAGAAAAGGAACGTTCCGCTTGAGTTAAGCTGCGATTCCCAACCACTTTCTCGCTCCACGGCACTCACGCTCGGGCTAGCTCGATCTTCTCGGCACGCCGAACCAAAAACTCGCTGTGGCACCTTCGTCAAGCGGTGGACTGATCATGGCTAATCACGCGTGCGCTCCTGCGTCTCTTTCTCAAGCGGGAACTTCTTTCGCACCGTACGAAATATAGTAGGATATTTTTTTCTCGAGGGTCCTGTCGTGTTTAACGGTAGCGGGAGGAGATGCACAATTTATTTGTGTTTTCCACGGCGTTTGTGCCATGCTTGGTGCACTTTGAGGCCAGGTGAAGTGTCGAAGGCTCGCTCGCAGGAGGTCACGGAACAGACCCAGGTGTCATGGGTTGACTCACTGAGACCACTGGCAGACGCACCATATGTGTCCCCCACTGTGCCCACTTTCTCTGTTATAACCGCCCGGCGCTCCGCTCGTCGTTGTGAGCGTCGCTCCTCTGCCCTCCGTTATTGCTGGAGGGCGACTGCCTCCAACACAACAACAACAATAATAATGATCCACTCATTCAGCCTCCCCGCGGTTACCACAGCCCGAGAGAAGCCCCCAGAGGCCGCGGTCGCAGTTCAACTCCGATGCCTCGGCCTGTCTGTGGCTGCATGGCCACCTGCCCGCGTTCGAGGACGATGTTGCGAGCTTATCGAGCAAAACGAGCCCGGCTCACGTCCACGTGACGCGCCACACAACGTACAGAGTCGAGTTCGTACCGAAACATTGCACTCACGCAAAAAAAATGTATGTTGTTGATTGTTTATGTTTAATGCGTGCGTGACAATTCAACAAACGTGAGATGAAGCAGCTACGGTCGGCTGAGTGGATCGTTGGTTTCCAAAGTACTGGAATTATTAAATCGAATGTATGATCTAATCCCGTAAAACGACTATATTTAATATTCTTATCCAAACCTTGTTTATAATACCAACCCGATCTTGAAACGTTCTGCCGAACAGTGATATTACGCGGCGAATAATGCAACTGCGTTTAGAAAGTTCAAACCGTAAACGCTGTCTTATGCGCAACGTTAATTAAGGTCGGTCGCGCCTGATCACGACAACATTTCGGTTGTGTCCTCTCGTGCGCGAGGAACGTCTGACCAACGTTGGGTCGAGGCGATCGACGCGGCAATTGCAGGTGCGGTGCCGTGTGCGCGAGTGACGTTTGGCGGCCGGGTTCCCCGCTCACTCCGCGCGAAGCGGCCACTGACCTTCGCCTCGCAGTTGCGCACGGGACCAGGGCTCTCGCTCGCTTCACGCGCGCGCTTCTCGAGCCGCCGTCGCTGCCGTCACCGCGTGCTCCCCTTCCTTCATCTAAGACGACCGCTTACATAAGAGGCGCTTGAGTCCAAATCCGTTAGCTCCCCGCTCTTCTGAAACGTGGTCCCACTGGCTCTCCGGGCTGCCTTCTTGACCTCGAGTGCAGAGTTCAATGTGCGGCGGCTCGCAGCGCTACAGCTCAGCTCCTCGAGCGCTCGGAGCCTGCGGCAAGAGAGGCTTATAAGGAGCCGGTGCCCAGGCCCTCCCCCGTCGCACGCACACCCAGCCCCGCGTCGGCGAACTTTGCCCGCTCGCAATTGGCAGCGCCTCGAGAAAGTTGACCCCCTCCCCCCCACCACCACCACCACCTCTCCGCAACTCGAGCCCCGCGCGCGACGCTCAGCACCGTCTCGAGCCGCAACTTTTCAAATCCCGTTCCGTAACAGAGGACGGACCGCGTCTCCCGCTGGATTCGTAAGGGACAGCGGCGGTATCGCCCCCGGTTCTTCTGCTCGACGGCCGGCAACACGCACGACTGGGAGCCGCTGCGGGCGTGCAGTGGAACGTGGACGTCATCGCAGCCGCGCTATCTCGCTGTTAGCGCCAGCAATAGATATGACCATAGCAAGAGTTGAGGGTTTACAGCGCACGGCAAACTGCTGATGCACTTATTAACATCTCGCCCTGTTCTAGGAAGGCAGGCGAACACCGTTCTGCAACCTACGTGCGAGCTTTAGGTCATAGAAGGACATTGGGTTTGGTGTTGTGTCAAAATCAAAGGGGTTCCCTGCTCAAATGAACATTGAAGCATTGGTGCTCACCTCCCGATTACAGTCCTCCAGAGCCAGTGTTGGAAACTCCACATTCATATGGCGGGGATGAGTCTATCTTCATAACAAAAGCTGTTGGCTTTGCCGCAATGCGGTGCTTATTTTAGTGACACTGGAAGGATTATGGGCTAAGTCAACCCTCCAATCAGGATCTCGCGTTGAGTCGCCGGTGCGTGGTGACTCTGTGAGGAGTGGTGGCGCAGTGGTTAGCGCACTGCACTACAATGAGTACCTGGTGCGTACCTTCAATGAGTACCTGGTGCGTTGTGTAAACACCAGTATTCGGGGGACAAAGGCGACCGGGCGTGGTGCTGGCCTCCCTCCCCCTCGTGTTCCGTGCTCGCTAATTGCACTTGCCTCTCCAGTGTGGTCAACGCTATATGAGGAATCTTTGTCTGGGGATATGTTTATTAAACGACCGTGGTGGGTGAGTGGCCCCGGCACATTAAACATCAAATTAAAACACTGCGTTGCCAACGCGAATCACTCACAATTTGGCTCCATTGTTCCCCAACACACCCAAAGGAAACGCTGTCCAGGATACCGGCTCATCCCCGGTGGGCGCGTGCAGCGTCGTCTCGGCTCGCAGGGCTGGGACCCGCGTAGCCAGGGCGAGGCGTCGCTAAAGGTCAAAAGGACTCCATCCGATGGAGATGATTGCGCGAGTGAGCGCGGCCGCAATGGACGCGCGCAGTGTGGTGATGACGGTCGAAAGATCGCCCTGCACTCGGAGCTGGGGAGACGCCTTTCTCCGGAAAGGTGGCGACGAGGCCACGGAGACTTGGACTTTATACTCTTGGGTTTTTTTCGGTAAAGCCACGTAGGTAAAAAATTAAATTAAAATTAATTATTTTGTTTCTATTACTGTATTACTTTTATTAATTTTAATTTTATTTTTTACCTACGTGACTTTACCGAAAAAACCTAAGAGTATGAATCATTGCAGTCACGAAAGCTTCAAATCTAGACTTGGACTTTAGTCTGCTAATCTTTAAAGGTGCATTGGAAATTTTTGATATTCCAACTGATGCTCCTACTGTTGTGGAGTGACTCATGCGGCCAGCTATGGCTACAAGGGTTTTGGTGGGACATGTTGTTTATGTCGTTTATTGTGACATTTCGGTCACAGTTCCTATGATCACTGTTACATTGATATTATGGCTTTATTTTGGTGATTTCGAAAGCATTTTTTGGCTTGGCCATGTTTGTTTGTTGTAGTACGGAGTTAGAATGATGGCATTAATCTAAGTTGTCTTGTGGTTGTTTGTTGTTTGACTTGCATCCTACTGGGATTTTTGCACACAGCGTTGATTTTTTTGGAAGATTTTTTTGCTGTCTTTTCCTGGATTTTTCAGTTTGCACATAGTCACATAGTCACTTTAAGATGTTTTCTTGTTCATGTTTTAGTTTTTTGTTTGTTGCGGTTGCACCCGATTCAAGAGCCGAATGGCTCACAGGGCTCTACCTAATAAATAAAACAGAACTGAAAACTGCGAGCTACGTGGCGATGTTATTGTGACATAGCGACCCCTGCCCATCACTTCGTCATCGTCACCATCAGCACCTCTACAAGGCGTTGCGTCCATCTTCGCGTTGTTAAAACATTTACTCGCAAAATGTCCGAAGGGGTAACGTGGAAAGGGCGTACTGTTCAAATAAACATCAAGTTACCTGTAAGGATACATCGGCACGTTTCCAAGTTGGTTTATTATATGCACAACAAGAGCTGTGCACATTCAACGCCGTATTTGCTCAGGTTGTTAAACTCGTACGCAGTGAATTGTTACGCGCCGCGTAAACATTCTCACTCTCTCTTTCTCACATCGTCCGCCATGTGTGTCCATTGTCGTGATGCGTTCTGACGGTGACGCTGCAGAGCTGCTGTCAGCCGAATGTGAATTCCCATGCGAAGTTCGCCCCCCCCCTCGCACTCGGGCAGACTTTGCCCGTGAACTCTCAAGACGCAGCAGCGCCTCGCCAAGACCGCCCCCCTCCCCACGCTGTCGCCGGCATCCTGTGCGGCGTAAACTCATCGCGCGGGCTAACGAGACGCGCGGTGCGGGGAGCCACGGAGGTGGAGGCGCATGGGGTCGATTATAACCGTGCGCACAATGGCAGCGGTAGCAATCCGTTCGGGAGCTCGGTGCCAATGCCGAGGTTTGCTGGCCGCGATGAGAGGGCTTAGGGCGAGAGAGTTCGTGTCGTTTCGCTGTTCTGTGGGGGCCGACGCCCGCCTCCCCGCTCCCTGTGAGCGGGCGAGGCGCGACGCTCACCCCCTCCACTCCCCCCTCCTCCTCCTCATCGGCCGCCTCTGGCCGGGCCCCCGCCGATCGGGTGATAGCCCCCCCCGCCCCGCACCAGTGCCCCGCTAACCGGCTGGCTCACCACCGCCCGGGGTTATGTCGCACACGCGCACGTACACCACCACTAATACGAAGGCGGCTGCGTGCACGCGCGCGCCCCTGCAGGCGCTCGTCTCGCACAAAGGCGAGCGCTTAAGGGCTGCGCAAATTTGCGCGCGCGTGCCTCGCCTTGAATGCTATTGTTCTCTGCTTTTTAACTCCGCCCCCTCCACCGCCCTAAGATTCGCGCGGCACAACCGAACGGACGCGTGGGCGTCGGCGGCCGTTTTTTGTTTAATACACGCGCGCGCGCCTCGTGCACACACTCAGATTTCCAACGCCACACCGACGCTGCAGCCCTGCGCTCGCTCTCTCGCCCACACCGTCCCGCCCGCGCAGTCACGCCACACGCAAATCGCAGACACCACGCCGACGTTCTACCCACACACACAGAAATCACACTGCGCCGATACTCTGTACTAAAGTTTATTGACGGCGCAAATACACACTACCTGGAGGGGGAATGTGTCGCAAGAAGGGCTTAGCCCGACTCTGCCTCCGAACCCAGTCACTCAAGCATCCTACCACGTACCTCGAAGCTGGACTCACGGCGTCGCACGGACGCTGTGAGAGTCGGAGGGAGAAGGACGAGAGAAGACTTTACCTATCAATGCCTCGTAGCAGCACTCGCTGGCATCACGCGGAGGCTCTGAGCGGCTTGAGGAGGCAGGATGGCAGGGAGTGGGTCTTGATGGCCAGGAGGTTGAAGACAACTGACTGAAATCGTCCCGGGCTCTTTTTATTCTCTTAACTTCAAAGTCCCGGGGTGCCATTGTACCACGCGGCCAATCGTGCACTTACCTGCGGTTACCGCCTCCCACCGCCCCCCATATGCTGCCCTCCGCCCCCCCCCCCCCCCACCCAAGTACTGCGTGGCGGCTGCTGCGGCGTGGCGGGCGGCGGCGACCCCCGTTGCCCCTTTGTCTGGAAGGGCTCCCGCACTTTGCCTACTTAATATGCCACCCTCCGTCCCTTTTCGAGTGCTGCGCAGCGATGGCTGCGGCCGGCGGGCAGCAGTGACCACCCACTGTCCCTTCATCTCTTGTGCCCTTCTCGCTAAATGTTCCATCCTCCATTCTCCCCTCCGAGATGTACCTCATTGCGGTTGGCCCAGGGAACTTTTTCCTTCTGCGCCCATACAATTGTAATAAAGGACTCGACCACGGTATCTGGCTTGGTGTCCTTTATTCGGGTTCGTCTTCTCTTCCCCACACGGCTCTCTCAGAGACCCTCTGCTCCGCGGCCGACGCTGTTGTCGCTGCTGTAGCCTTCCTCCGTCCCCCAGCAGCCCCGCTGCTGACCTCTTCGTGCAGCCTCTCCGGCTGCCCTCGACGCAGCCCCACCGCTGCTGTCTCTCTCCTCCGAAGCAGCCCCGCTGCCGATCCCTTCGTGCAGCCTCCCTGGCTGCTCTCGCTGCAGCCTCACCGCTGCTCCCCGTTCCTCCGGGGTCGGTCACCGCTGGCCGACGGTGCCGACCGTACTCTGTGTGTGTGGCGATCTCGCCACTCCCCCAGTCCTCGCCCTGCGTGGCCTCACTCTAGCCCAGTCTCCAATCACTCCCCTCCTCTTCCGGTTTCTCCCCTTTAAGACCTGAACCCTTACCCCCACGTGACGTAACTCCTCCCCCCCGTGACGTCACATCCGGAAGGTCGTTTACACCCGCATTACACAATGTTAAGACAATTTAGCGGCACCGCAATGTAACCTGTCCTGTGAGGGTCGGCCAATCTCCTGGCACCGGGAAACCGCGGGACTCTCCTTCTAGGGGCCCTTCGGATGAAAACCCGATGTGCCAAGCAACCCCCCGCCAGGACACTACTACGTGGGTGCGCTGCGTGCGCGTGGCGTGTTTAGTGCGGGGGCCGGGAGGGAATTGCGGCGCTTTCGGAGTTTCTCCGCGGTCGTGGCACCACAGTTCCTCCTCCATTGAAGGAGTGCAGAATTCGTACAGTGGTTTACTGTATGGTCTATA